GATTGATTGTGTATGTGTGTGAATGTAGAGTCCAGAGGTCAACATTGGATGTCTTCTTTGATTGCTGTCTACCGCATTTTTTGAGGGAGGATGTCTCCCTGAACTTGGAGTTTGATGATTCAGCTAGGCTGGCTGGTCATGGAGCCCTGGGGATCCTCGTGCCTCTCCAGTGCTGGGAGTGTAGACACATGCTGCTGAGTCTGCCATTTCTAGGTGGGTTCTGGGGGATCCAACTCAAGTCTTTGTGCTTGTGTGGTAAGCACTTTCCTGACTGAGCCATCTCTCCAGTCCACACTTGTATGATTTAATTGGGCTAAAACCATAAATTATTGAACTCAATTATGACTCTAGAATTCACTCTAAAATTTTTAATTGAAAATTTATTTCTTTAACTGTACACGGCTTACAAAGAGTGTCTCTAAAATAATAAAAGTTTCTGTTTTTATAATTAATTGCACAGAATTTAACTCATTTCTATATCATTTCATACATGTGATTTTTATCTTTCTTATTAATTTTAAGCAATTTAAATATAAGTGCCATGCTTTATACATCTTTATGCTCTTCAGAATGGTGAATTGGACAGACATCTATAACATGTAAATATTTTGACTAATTTTAGCATATCTCTTTACCATCTGAATAATTTCTAATAAATTATATTTTTCAAGGATTCTGATTAGTTAAGCTTTAATAATTGATATGGTATTGTACATTAAACTTCTCTTAAAATTGTTCCTCAATTTTACATTAGCCCTCTTGAACTTATATAGTTTTAATGACTAGTTCAGTCTGCTTATAAGAGTAATGACCCATTCTTTTATTTAATCTATCTCAATAATTGATGCAGTTCATTGAACCCAGTGGTTCAAATGCTATATTTTATATGGCAAATAAATGTAACTGCAGCAAGAATGACAGTCAAAATGTGGTCAGTCTACTTCAGTATTTCCATCTCCAGAATAAATAGCTTGTGGAAAACCTCTCGGTAGCCAGGAACACCAGGAGAGGTAAGGCCTCTGTCCCCTGTATGCATTTCAGTCAGAGTTGTGTATCTTTCACTTACTGAGGTTGTTCATTTGGTGCAAACTGAAAAACATCTTTAAAAAAATAAGATACTTTATTTTTATATTTATTTGTTTATTTTTGTCTTTTCGAGACAGGGTCTCCCTGTAGCCACAGCTGGCCTGGAACTCACTATGTAGATGAAGCTGGCCTTGAACTCACAGAGATATACCTGCCTCTGCCTCCCTAGTGCTGGGATTAAAGGCGAGTGCTACCACGCCCAGCCCTAAAAAAAAGTCTTTAAAGGCCAGCCTGGTCTACAAAGTGAGTTCTAGGCCAGCTGTGGCTACAGGGAGGAGACCCTGTCTCAAAAAACTACTCCTCCACCCCCCCCCAAAGATGAACATTTTGGTTACAAGGTTAAGTAAAAGTTATTTGTCCAGAGCATGTCCATACTGTAAAAGTTATTACCACATATACACATGAAAATATCACAAACCCATTATATGTAATTAATTGATGCTTATTTACTGAAAGAATCCATAAGGTGATGAGCATTTTTTTCTGCACTGTATAAGCTGGAGCCGTGAATACCTCCTAGCGGCCTGGGGTCAACCAAGAGCGTGTTCATTCTCTTATCGCTCGCACAGGATGTACATGAGCATGGCTGTGCCAGCAGCTGCCAAGGAGCCATGCAGACTTTCCCCCGGTATGCTCTCAGTCCAGTAGGAGTCTAAAGTGTGGGGAGTGATCTGTAGGTTTAGGGGGTTCTGGACTAGGCGAGGCCTGAGGTACAGACCCACCCCACCAGAAGGCACAGGGCTAGGGCTAAGCTCCAGACTGGGAAGCTGTGTTGACAGCTGGCAACTCAGAGGAATGTCTGTGACTGTCCCTCTCCCCAGGCACTGCCCACCTGCCATTTGTGATGGGGCGGTGCCTTCCCTACATTTTAGTTTCAGGAGTGACCTCTTTCTTCTTTGCTGTGGAGGGAAGGAGAAGCAGGTTTCCCTGAGGGTCGTGGTCTTGTGGAGCGACTGTGCTCACAGAGCGGTGCTGGGAAGGCCTTCTGGTGCATGTACACAATGGCATGAGGTCCCCAGCACTACCTGGAGGATTGGCCAATCTGGCAGATGATGTGGGCTATAATGGGGTCAGAGAAGGGTTCCTGCAGTGTCCCACAAGTCTAAACAAGGTGGCCGTGGGAAACGGGTTGGCATGCCAGGTGTCAGCAGCCACTCAGCCTCCTCCATAGCTTTACCAGTCCCAGCAAAATGCTGTCTCCCCTGGGGATGTTATGGGTGCTGTGCTGCCACCTTGGGGTGCTAGGAAATGTCTGGGGTGCTGTTTTGGCAGTTGCCTTAATTGGGGATGTCAGTGGCATTTAATTGGCGGGGTTGGGTACCAGGTATCCAGCAACTCATGGGCTGTCCTGCCCAGGGAAGAATTCTAACAGAACCTCAGGAAGGAGCACTGTAGAGAGAGTCTGGACTTGCTGTCTGTGGATCTGATCCAGATGCCTTTCACCAGGGAGATGTGGTCTGGGATTCTGTTATTGGTTTTGTTTTGAGAGCAGTGTTTCAAGTGGCAGCATAGCTCTGACGTGCAGACCACGTGGCCAGCAGTGTTCCTGTGCAGGAGGGAGGCCTGGGTTGGCCAGGTGTGTGGAGCCTGCTGTGGGGAGGAGGTGAATGCAGAGACCTGGCAGGAGTCATGGTCTTGAGCCTCACAAGCTAGTCTTTGAGCTCTGACAGGGTCGTCAGTGCTGAGGACAGTTTCCACATTCTTTTCTTAGTTGTGTGCAGCTTGGATGGTTAAGTTTCTTTTAAAATTTCAGTAAGTTTAATGTGGAGAAACAGTTCACGCTCTTTTGTCTGTGTGTCCTACAGGGTCTCCCTGTAGCCACAGCTGGCCTGGAACTCACTATGTAGATGAAGCTGGCCTTGAACTCACAGAGATATACCTGCCTCTGCTTCTTGAGTGCTGGGATTAAAGGTGTGTACCACCATGCCTGGCTAAAATTACGATTCTTTAAAAATGTTTTTATTCATATATATAATTATACACAATAAAGGGTTTTATTATGACACTTTAATACATGTACATAATGTACTTTGATCTTTTTGAGCAACAGCTTTTTAAGCAAAAAAAATTAGTCTTGAAAATTGCCTTTGAGCTGCAAAAATATGGCAAAGTCTTCTTAGTTTTAAAGCATATCACCAATCATTTATTTATTAGTTTATTCAGCCAACTGGGCCTTAATATGGATGACAGAATATTTGGGTTCCAGTGTGGGGACTATGGGAGGACACCGGTGTGGGGGTTATAAAGATGATTAAGATTGTTTGAGCTATTCTGTATAAAATACACCAAAATTCAATAAAAATTTTTATTTATTATTTTTACTTTATGTGTATGAGTGTATTGCCTGCATGTATGTAAGTGCACCCATGTTGTGCAACACACTTAGAGATCAGAAGAGGGCATTGGATTCCTGTGGAACTGGAGCTAGGGCCAGTTGATGGCCACCATATGGGTACTGGGAATCAACCTTGGGTCCTCTGCAAGAGCATCCAGTGCTTTTAACTGTTGAACCATCTCTCCAGACCTCAGTCAGTGTTTTTTTTTTTTTAAATACATGGAACAAGTAGAAGCCCTTGTCAAGAACACCAACAACTGGCTGAGTGTTCAAGATGTCATTATTTATACGTAGAGACAGCAAATTAAGAAAATTTGCAAGGCTTTTTTTAATGTTCTCATTCCAGATCATACAATTTTAATTTCCTTTATTCTCAGGATAACAAAATACATTAGAATAATTAAATTGGATAGCAAAATAAAATATGTTTGATATCTAGACTTTGACAAAGATATATGGAAATGTCACCAGGTAAAATTGAAGTTGGTCTCTAAGTCTCTTAATCAATTGTCTTGGGCTTAGAAGTTTCTAGTACAGGCATGTGGGGTCTACAAGGTGCCAACTAGAGAATGTACAGGGATTTCTCTCCTTTAGGACTATCAAGAACCTGCAGACCAGGCCTGCAAAGTTAACACTGGTCACAAAAGTGTGCCCATTCTCTCTGGCCTCCAGGAAGCTGAAGAGCTCAGTGCTGGGTTGATTCCTTTCCACCTCGAGGTGGAGATAGAATAGGGAGGCCTTGGTGGAGGGTTGATAACCAGTCTGTTATAGTATGACCAACACACAGGACCTTCCACCTCTGTGGCCTTCCTCATTAATAGATCTGAAACAGCGTTCATGTTGCAATCCTGAAATAAAGAAAATTATAGCATATCCAAGTAGGCTCTGGCAGAAAGAGATAAGCATGAGGAACAATACGGGTAGGTGTCTAATGACATAGGGATGCTGGGTGAATGGGCAATACCTTAGACGAAACAATGAAACAATAGTTAGAACACTTAAATTGTCATAGCCCATTCACACAGCTCACCAAAACATTTCCTTTTGTAATAGGATTTTGTTGAGTGGAGATGTTCTATGTCTGACTTCTTAAATAAGTTGGGTACAAAGGACAGTTTGTGCCACAGCAGAAGGTAAGGAGCAGCCTGCAGAAGGAGGCTTCTAGATTTGAGCACTTATCAAAGCATATTTTAAAATGGGACATTAATATGGTGAGTTCCTGTACGATGGGAGAACTAGTGTTTAGAGAAGTAGATCCCATCTCTAGGAGTTCATAATTAGGTAAGAGCCTGAGGCAGAACTAGAACCCACAACTTATCCCTAATTTTATAAGCCAAACACAGCCCACTGCCTGGACTTAAGGTATGAACTTTTGAGGTTTTTCAGCTTTTGGGCTCCTGATTCCCAGATACAGAAGTTACATTTGTCATCACCCACTTCAGAAATGTTCCAATCAATATCTTGATATAATAATTAAAAGGAAATCTTTGCCTTTTCTCATCTACTTAAGAGTTAGAATTTATGGGAGTGATATAAGACTGAAAATCTATCTATAAAGTACTTTTTTTCTTGGTATAATGAAAAATATGGACGCTTCACAAATTTGCATGTTATCTTTGTGCAGGTGCCAGGCTAATCTTTTCTATAACATTCCAATTTTAATATATGTACTGCTGAAGCAAGCACCATAAAATGATTTCTGAGAGGAAGAAGCACTGTGATTATTCAATGGAGTGCCAAGCTGCTGGATAGTGAAGTGAACTAATCTCTGGTGACTCTCCTTAAGCTGGTAAAATGAGACAGGGGACAGGATCCAAACTCCAAAATGATGCCAAGTGCACATTAATGTGCAGTTAGATTTGCCAGCACGTTACAGCATCTGCTGAATACCACCATTTTCTAAAAACCTTAAAAAAATCACATTTATTTCTTATTTATTTATTTATTTATTTATTTATTTATTTATTTACGTGTTTGAATATATATTAACTTGTGTATACCAGTTTGTGTGTGTGGAGTTCAGAGGACAACTTTTGGGACTACCATGAGGGTCCCCAGGGTTGAACTCATGTCTTTGGATTTGGTGGCACGTGGCCTTATTCACTGAATCATCTTGTTGACCTGAGTGTCACTCTTTGGGTGAGTCTACTCTAAGTGCAGCTTGCCACTGCTAAGACTCAAGGGCAGCTCTTGCCCACACTCTACTAATTGTTCTTATCATGATATCATGTTTCAGCAGTAGGCCAGTACTTGCTCTTCTAGAAAGCAACTGTTACTGAAGTTTTAATAGGTAATGTTTAGATTGTATATACCAGAACATTGCTTAGTAAAATATCTATGTTATGTTTCCGATCTATTCTAAGAATATTTTTTCTAGCTGATAATGACACACTCATGTCCATGCCTCCCTCACATCCTCTAACACACATCTGTCTTCTAGAGCATTTCAGCTCTGTCCATACCTTATTGTGTGAAACAAGGCACTATGATGAGCTAAATTTTCACCCCTAAGAAATCAGTCCAGTGTCATAGGTCATCTGTTGTTTTCTCAAGACTGTCTCTGGAGCTTTAGGCCATTACTCTGAAAAACAGATCAAAATATTAACACCTTAAAAAAGGAGGGGGGCACAGGCTGGAGAGATGGCTCAGTAGTTAAGAGCACTGGTTGTTCTTGCAGAGGACCCGGGTTCAATTCCCAGCACCCACATGATGCCTAACAACTATCCATAACTCCAGTTCCAGTTCCATGGAGCTTGACTTCCTCTTCTGACCTCCACGGGCATTGCGTGACACAGGTGCACTTACATACGTGCAGGCAATACACTCATACACATAAAACTTAAATAATAAATAAAAATATTAGCATGTAAAATTTATAGGTAAGGATGGAAGGGAGAAATTCTGCTATTAAAAGAACCTTGGTTTTTCTACTCGTCATGTGCTAAAACATTGATTTAGCTTTCCAGTTTTAGATTTATTAGTTCTAAGAGTAAATCAGTTAAATGTTAAATCTAATCTGAGACAATGACAGTATGAAGAGAGGTATCAAACCATAGTTCTTAAATTTCTGCATATTTCAGTCTTATAGATAATTTTAGTTTCAAATAATTTATGAGGGGGCTGGAGAGATAGCTAGGCAATTAAGAGTTCTGGCTGCTCTGGCAGAGGACCCAGATTCAGTTCCCAGCACCCACATGCTGGCTAACAATCATCTATAACTCCAGTTCCAGGGGATCCAAGACCCTCTTTGACTTCCACAGGCATTGCAAGAATGTGGTGCAGGTTTACATGCAGGTAAAACACTCATACACATAAAATAAAACTAAGTAAATAAAAATATTGAAATTTATGGAGTTAAATTTTTAAAAAATGCAATTGAATGATAATCAAAACTGTATGGATAGTGAAATTATATCTAAGAATTGGGCTGGACAGATTGCTCAGTGGTTAAGAGCACTGACTGCTCTTGCAGAGGACCCAGGTTTAAGTCCCAGCACCTACATGGTGGCTAACAACTGTCTGTAACTCCAGTTCCAGGGGATCTGGCACCATATTTTGACCTCCACAGGCATTGCACAACATGAATGCACCTACCTACATGCAAGCAATACACCCACACACATTAAACAAAAATAAAAAAGAAAAATATATCTAAGAATTGTGATTATATATAAAATAGAATATAAACACTTGTCTAAGAATGAACAATGAGGTGATGTACTGCAACCCTGACCCAAGATAGGTATCCCTAGAATCCACTTGTATCACTGCCTACCCATTACCTACCATGCTCCCTGGGGACTGTAGGGCGTCCTGTGAGTCCAACCTTAGGTAGGGACCCTTAGCACAGCCTGTACCTCACTCACCTCTACCTGTGGATAGTATGGCATCTCACACCCAGACTCCAGAGAGCACCACTCACTCCTGATGTGACACAGGCTTCTGCCACTCAACTAAGACTCAATGAACCCTCCATAGACTTCAAAAAATTAGCGGCGAGACTCTTTTATCCTTACATGTTTGCTCCTGAGCTCAGAAGTTACACCTATTCCTAGCTATGCTGAGATTACTTCTGAAGCCCCATTTGCACATCAACACAGACTTTCTCTAAGCCTGAACCCCAAGCTGGTCCACATTATAGCAATAGCAAACAGTTGAGGCAACAGCAAACAAATATCTAAATACTTACAAAAAGGATGAGACTGGCTATTCATACCAAGAACATTGCCAGATACCTAGGTCACATCACAAACATCCTAAACAAAACAACATGAATATCAAGACAATATGTGTCAGTTAGTTAGTACCCACATCACAATGATCCCTGAGAAAAGCAACTTAGCTGATATGCAAGACAACAATTTCAAAAGAGTCATTACTTTCAAAAAGAGTCATTACATGTTGAAGGAACTTAAGAAAATATGCACAAATTCTGGAATGAAGTCCACAAAAATACAAACAGTTGGATGAAATACAGAAACATTCAAGATATGAAAGCAAATAATAAAGAGATACAATTTTTGAAGAAAAATCAAACTGAACTAAAACTTGAAATGAGAAACTCAATTAGTTAAATTAAAAATTCATTGGAAAATCTCACCAAATAGAACGGATCAAGTGGAAGAGAAAATATCAAGACTTGAAGACAAGGTACAGGAATTGGGTCATTCAAAGAAAATGCTAAATCTAAAAAACCCCAGGAACAGAATGTGCAGAAACTCCAGAACACTATAAAAAGACCAAATCTATGAATCATAGAGATACCCATGTCAAAGGCATAGAAAATATTTTCACTAAATCACAGAAGAAAATTTCCCAAATCTAAGGAAAGAGATTCCTACCATGGTGCAAGAGGCATACAGAAGACCAAATAGAATGAAAAAGAAATCCCCAGGTCACATAATAATCAAAACATGAAATGTACAGAATAAAGGAAGCATATCACAAGCTGCAAGAGAGGAAGATGAAAATCATACATAAAGGGATACCCAACAGAATGGTGTCTTGGAAGCCTAAGAGGGCCTGGACAGATGTTCTATAGGCTCTTAAAGACCACAGATGTCACCCCAGGCGATTATACCCAGAAAAACTCTCAGTCATAACTGAAGGATGAAGAAAACTTTTTCATCTACGAACTCAAGAAATTTATGACTATTAAGCCAGCTCTGCAAAGGATACTAGAAAGAATACCTTGGACTGAAGAGAATATTAAAAACACATGAGGGCATAAGGAATAAATAATTCCAGAACAGTCACTCAAAAGAGGTCAAAGAAAACAATATCACCACTACCACCACAACAGAAAAGGAATCAATGCATGTTGTTCAATAATGGCTCTCAATATTAATGGTCTCAATTCCTCAATAAAGAGATATAGACTGACATACTGGATTATAAAACAGGATCCATCTTTTTTGTTGCCTCCAAGAAACATACTTCACCATTAAGGATAGACACCATCTTAGGGTAAAAGGATAGAAAAAAGTATTCCAAGAAAATAAAACTAAGAAATAATCAAATGCAGCTATTATAATATCTGACAAAACAGACTTCAAACCAAAACTATTCGGGAGAGATGAGGAAGGACACCTCATACTCATTCAAGAAAAAAATTCACCAAGAAAATATTACAATTCTAAATATTCACAAACCAAACCAAGGGGCACCCAATTTCAAAAAGGAATTACAATTAGACCTAAAATCACAGATTGACTCCAACACTGTGACTTTATTTTTTAAAATTATTTATTTAATAACCACATAATTAGAAGAAACATTTCACTACAGCAGCATTGACATATTCAATAACAATCTCCAGATGCATCTCTTTCAAAATTGGCTGTAAATTTCTAGGCTTACAGTTGAATTAATATAGCTATACAATATTGTACTCAGTATATACCCTGTAAGACATAAAACTGAACAAGGTTTTAACCTTTAAAAATAATCTCCATTTCGTTATTAAAATATCATAGTTTCATACAGAAAATTTCATTTTTAATGCAATTAACACTGACATGTTTGCACATGCATTTCTAATCTCTATATATCTGATTATTACTAGTCACAGTTGTGGTTACTTTCTGAGATCCTTGGCACCTGAGCATGGATATGAAGTCATCAGGTAGATTTCAATGGTAATGCTTTTCCACATCTACTAGTTAATAAGGAGCAAATTTTTATGCTTTGAAGAATTTTTTAATTAAATGTTTTTCTTAAATTTAATAACCACATGATTAGAAGAAGCATTTCATTATAGCTTTAACACATTCAGTAACACACACCAGACCAGGGATATATCACTTTTGAAAGTGGTTCTAAAATTTTT